GAGCTCATTCCCATCACCAATGGAGGACTCTCTATGACCTGAGCTCATTCCCATCACCAATGGAGGACTCTCTATGACCCGAGCTCATTCCCATCACCAATGGAGGACTCTCTATGAACTGAGCTCATTCCCATCACCGATGGAGGACTCTCTATGAACCGAGCTCATTCCAATCAGCAATGGAGGACTCTCTATGAACTGAGCTCATTCCCATCACCAATGGAGGACTCTCTATGACCCAAGCTCATTCCCATCACCGATCATCTAGGAATTCTGGTCATTTATAAAGAACACGACTCAGAACATTGTAGAGTGTGGAGGATTTTTATTTACATTAAGAGATCGGCATAACCACATAACACACAGAATGAAATTGAGGTTGAAATCTAAATGTAAATTTCCACCAGTGGCTGCAAACAATAGCCAGCACGCTATTGGCTATTTTAAATTGCAATAGCCAACAGCAGGCTGGCTATAGCACCCGCCCATTGCCTGGAGAGGAGGACCTGAAGGAGAACTTTCTACTTCAGTACCGTCCTCTGCTGATTTGACAATTTAAAATAGCCAATAGGCGCCTGGCTATTGTTTGCAGCCACTGGTGGAAATTTGCATTTAGATTTTACCACGCCCCCCAATGTTGCAAGGCTCACATAGTGAACTGCTTAGGACTATCTGCCCCTCCAAAGACACAGTCCATGGTATGCCCTTATCTCTTGAGTTCCTGGTGCACACATTGTGAAGGGTTCCCTTCTTTGAGGAACGAGGGCAGCTCAATGGTGTAGGGAAAAGTGGCTGGAACTGTCGCGGGAGATTTCAACCAATGGCAGCGTCAGCTAATGCAGAACAGACTCCCCCGAACAGTGTGGCATTTACAAAAACCGGAGGGAAGTTTTATGGGGAAAGTGAAGTCACTTCAATTGTAAAAAATGCAACAAGAGAACATTTTATTCATATGGAATCTTGTGCTTCTGGGTCTCGATGTTCCACCGCATGAGTTTTCTGGTGTTTTAGAAGGTTTCCTTTATGGACAAAAGACTTTCCGTACACTGAACAAGAAAAGGGGCGCTCGCCCGTGTGAATTCTGTGGTGTTTAAGAAGGTCCCCATTCTGGATGAAACTTTTCCCGCACTCTGAACATTTGAAAGGGCTGTCGCCTGTGTGACTTCTTTGGTGCGCAATAAATTTTCCTTTTCTAGAATAAGATTTGCCACAATCGGCACAAGAAAAAGGGCCCACACCTGTGTGACTTCTTATGTGTAGGACAAGTTTTGCTTTAACAGGAAAACGCTTCCCGCACTCTGAACATGAGAAAGGATACTCGCGTGTGTGAATTCTCTGGTGGATAACAAGTGTGCTTTTCTCAGTGAAACTTTTTCCACACTCCGAGCATGAAAAAGGACGCTCACCTGTGTGAATTCTCTGGTGTTTAAGAAGGTCTCCTTTATTCCTGAAACATTTGCCGCACTCTGAGCACGGAAAAGGGCGCTCGCCCGTGTGAATCCTTTGGTGTCTATGAAGGTTGCCTTTGTGGATAAAAGATTTTCCGCACTCTGAGCATGAAAAAGTATGCTCACCCCTGTGAATTTTCTCGTGTCCAAGAAGGTTTCCCTTGTGGATAAAAGTTTTCCCACACTCTGAACATGAGAACGGACGCTCACCTGTGTGACCTTTTAGGTGTTTCAGTAGTATTCTTTTTGTCGTGAAACGTTTTCCACACTCTGTACATGAATGTGGGCGTTCAACTGTGTGACTTCTCTTGTGTATAATAAGATCTGTTTTTTCAGCAAAAGTTTTCGCACACACCGAACATGACAATGAATGCTGTACTGCGTGACCTCCCTCGTGGCTGAAAGATCCCTTAGAATTAGATGGATCCGGAATACTAGTAATGGGATTTACGTCGGTAGAATATTGTACGATGTGGTAATCCTTTGCATTACAATCTGAAGATAAAGTAAGATGTCCCTCCGAGGTATTCCAGACATAGCGACCACCTGGTGGAGAACAAGAAATATTCATCATTCAGGTGTCATATATGTTGTTCTGGAACTAAAGAGCGTGTCAGAGCTCCGGATGGAACTAACCACCTGAGGAACGGAGATGGACCTTCATATGGTGTACAGTATCTCCTCCTCATTTGTTGGTCACATGACGTTATATTGAGGAATGGAGATGGACCTTCATATGGTGTACAGTGTCTCCTCCTCATTTGTTGGTCACATGACGTTATATTGGGGAATGGAGATGGACCTTCATATGGTGTACAGTATCTCCTCCTCATTTGTTGGGGACATGATGTTATATTGGGGAATGGAGATGGACTTTTCATATGGTGTACAGTATCTCCTCCTCATTTGTTGGTGACATTTTGTTCACTGGGGACATGAGAAGTCACTTGGATTTCCAAGAACAGTCCTGAACAAGGGGAAAAGAAGACCTTGAAAAGGCCACCTCGTCCACATAACAGAACTTGGTGATTGTGGTAACTAACGACCAGGTAGAATCTCTCCACTAACATGCAGAAGCCTGAAGTTGAACAGTCTAAGGTGTTCCTATTCTACTTGAGTGAGCAGTGACAGGGAAGCAAGACACCTGATCCTTAACTGAATATCCCTGAGAGGTTTCCTGGCAAACCCATTATGCAAAAGCTGCATTGGGAGGAAGAGAGCCCGGTGAGGACCTCTTGAAAGTAAAAGCAGAGTCAATGGGGTGAGAAGAACATCATCCATGAGAGGGTCATCGTTTGTGAGCCTAAGATTATAGTGTGACAACCTGAGGTTCATATGTGGAGTTCTCCAAGCAGAGATGTCTTGCTGAAGAGTCTGTGTTTCTATGACGGCTTAGAAAGTCTGCTATCCAGCTGTCCGGCGTTAAAATGTAGACCGCCGACAGAGCAGAAGCATGACATACTATGAAGTGCATTACGTGAGCCACTGAGGACACTAAGCTAAACTGGTGCTGACTAGATGGAGATGTCCTTCAGAAGGGTTCAGGCCTTCTGCTTTCCAACTGTCTGAACACCTAGTGACCGAGCTTACACCGAGTGGCCTGCAGTGTCCCCCACTGAAAGTTAGGGGAAATGTAACACGGTCTTCTACAGGAACATGTTCTAGCTGACTCAGCATATCACTGGAACGCTGAATCTTAATGTTTCTAGACATGAAATATGTAAATGCCTGGTAATATTTGTAGACAATTACATTGTGGAATGCTGGAAGTCATCTCGTTGCCTTTCCGAAGAAATTATTATATGCTTGATTAAGAAAACTCGGCCAAGCGGTTTCCTGATTTCACCGGGGTCAACCACTGCCGTACGATGAACACGATGGACAGTTGTCTTTTTTCAACCAATTTAAAATGAGCATGTGACCTGGACTCTGCATTTAGTGTTTATGACTTACTTGTGCTCATACGTAGAGAAGATTCCTTTTGTTTACTCTTCATATTCATCTCCTCCATAGACTTCTGAGCTCCACCCACCGACGTCTCCTCTTCTTCCTCCTCCATAGACTGCTGAGCCCCACCCACTAAAGTCTCTTCTTCTTCCTTCTCTATAGACTTCTGAGCTCCACTCACCAACGTCTCTTCTTCTTCCTCTTTATTCTCAATTGTGAGGTTTGTGAGCTCCACGGCCTACATGGCAAAAGGATCAAATAAAACAATACTGAAAAGTCTTTACCAACAATGAGATTACACGAAAGAAGTCATCTCCGAGCTGAAAGTCCCATCTACCTGATCATGGTGGGGGATGGTGAGATCTTCCTGTGTGGAATCCCGGGAATACAGAGGACGGGGACATGTCTCTGGTGGGTTCCTCTTACTGGATCCATCTGTAGGAAACACACACACTGACTGAATACATTGTTTCTATGTGTGTATCAGATGATGGGGGATGTAGGCGGAGCCTCCGTACTGCTCTCTCCTCTTACCCGGTGATGTGAGGGGCGGCTCATTCTCCATCACTACGTCCTTGTAGAGATCCCGGTGTCCTTCTAGATACTCCCACTCCTCCATGGAGAGATAGACAGAGACATCCTGACACCTTATAGGAACCTGACACACACAATGATACAGTCACCACCCAGACACGCCCCTCGTCTGTTCCTGGATCATGTCCCAGAATTCCCGGCACCGCTCACCTCTCCCGTCAGCAGCTCCATCATCTTCTTGGTGACTTCTAGAATCTTCTTGGCTCTGTGTTCCTCTGTTGTCAGGCGGTGAGGTGGAGGCTCTGAGATGGGTGATGTCTTGTTAAGGGACCTGTTGGGTGTTATTGGCTCACCAGATGTTTTCTTCACTACTTTACAATCCTGAGTAGAGAAAGAAACAATCATCATCACAGACTTCCCAGAATCCTCCTCACCTGTCTGGTCTGCTGTCTTTCTATATTACAGACATAAGATGACATGTGACCCCCCCAAAATCCCTCTCACCTCTCCAGTCAGCAGGTATATGATCTCCATGGTCAGGTTTATTATAGTCTCAGTCATGTGACTCCGATCCTTCTCCATCTTCCCCGAAGTGGTCATGTGATTCCTACAGGACACTCCCCCCTGCGGACAGATAATACATTGATAATGATCCAGAATATTGTGGGATGAATGATGTCCGCTCCGCGCTCCTCCATAGACAAGAGACCTCAGACTGCTATTTATGATCTATTACAGGTCTTCTTCTCAACACTCGTACTGACAATAAACCAGAGGGCGGCTTCATACCACAACTCCAACACCAACCTTGTATCTTAGGTTTGGTTTGGCTGGAGAAGAGTTCGATCCTCACGTATGATGGAGGACATGTAGACATGACATTGTTCTGTGTGCACATTGGCCGGGAATGTCTCCATATCCTGACACCTTATAGGAACCTGACACACACAATGATACAGTCACCACCCAGACACGCCCCTCGTCTGTTCCTGGATCATGTCCCAGAATTCCCGGCACCGCTCACCTATACAGTCACCACCCAGACACGCCCCTCGTCTGTTCCTGGATCATGTCCCAGAATTCCCGGCACCGCTCACCTCTCCCGTCAGCAGCTCCATCATCTTCTTGGTGACTTCTAGAATCTTCTTGGCTCTGTGTTCCTCTGTTGTCAGGCGGTGAGGTGGAGGCTCTGAGATGGGTGATGTCTTGTTAAGGGACCTGTTGGGTGTTATTGGCTCACCAGATGTTTTCTTCACTACTTTACAATCCTGAGTAGAGAAAGAAACAATCATCATCACAGACTTCCCAGAATCCTCCTCACCTGTCTGGTCTGCTGTCTTTCTATATTACAGACATAAGATGACATGTGACCCCCCCAAAATCCCTCTCACCTCTCCAGTCAGCAGGTATATGATCTCCATGGTCAGGTTTATTATAGTCTCAGTCATGTGACTCCGATCCTTCTCCATCTTCCCCGAAGTGGTCATGTGATTCCTACAGGACACTCCCCCCTGCGGACAGATAATACATTGATAATGATCCAGAATATTGTGGGATGAATGATGTCCGCTCGGCGCTCCTCCATAGACAGGAGACCTCAGACTGCTATTTATGATCTATTACAGGTCTTCTTCTCAACACTCGTACTGACAATAAACCAGAGGGCGGCTTCATACCACAACTCCAACACCAACCTTGTATCTTAGGTTTGGTTTGGCTGGAGAAGAGTTCGATCCTCACGTATGATGGAGGACATGTAGACATGACATTGTTCTGTGTGCACATTGGCCGGGAATGTCTCCATTGTGATGCTGCCTGGATGAGAACTTGTACTGTACATCAGTCTTCCTCCTCTCCATATCCTCCTCCAGAGAAGACCTGGTGTCCATTATAGAGGAGAGCCAACAACCCAGAGACAGCTTCATGGAAGTTGGATAAATGGTTCTATATTTAGGATATATTTGATCTATAAATGGCGGCTCTGGATGGACAGTTGGATAAATGGCTCTATATTTAGGATGTATCCGGTCTATAAATGGCGGCCCTGGATGGACAGTTGTATAAATGGCTCTATATTTAGGATGTATCCGGTCTATAAATGGCGGCTCTGGATGGACGGTTGGATAAATGGCTCAATATTTAGGATGTATCCGGTCTATAAATGGCGGCTCTGGATGGACAGTTGGATAAATGGCTCTATATTTAGGGTGTATCCGGTCTATAAATGGCGGCTCTGGATGGACAGTTGGATAAATGGCTCAATATTTAGGATGTATCCGGTCTATAAATGGCGGCTCTGGATGGACAGTTGGATAAATGGTTCTATATTTAGGGTGTATCCGGTCTATAAATGGCGGCTCTGGATGGACAGTTGGATAAATGGCTCTATATTTAGGGTGTATCCGGTCTATAAATGGCGGCTCTGGATGGACAGTTGGATAAATGGCTCTATATTTAGGATGTATCCGGTCTATAAATGGCGGCTCTGGATGGACAGTTGGATAAATGGCTCTATATTTAGGATGTGTCCGGTCTACTGAATGTAAATATAAAATAATATCTTATCACCTCCTCTGCTGCCAGTTCCTGCAATTTTCCCTCTATGCTTTTTCCATACTCAGCTTTTACCCAGATTTTCCTTTTGTTGACGTACATCACTTCCTCTCTTTAACTACATCACTTCCTCTCTTTACCTACATCACTTCCTGTCTGTGAATTTAACCATGTTGTGGAAATTGCAGACACTGCCTTCTATGTTGTGTTTCATCAAATTGCCCACAGCCTCACACATGCAAATTATACATCTGGTAAATCCCAAACAATATAAAGAATGAAAAAATGTTTATTAGTTATAATTAATAAGTGTTTTTAGTTTTACATACTTATAAATATTTAAGTCAAATATAAACATTTATAAAAACAAAGACCATCACCAATGGAGGACTCTCTATGAACTGAGCTCATTCCCATCACCAACGGATGACTCTCTATGAACTGAGCTCATTCCCATCACCAATGGATGACTCTCTATGAACTGAGCTCATTCCCATCACCAATGGAGGACTCTCTATGAACTGAGCTCATTCCCATCAGCAATGGATGACTCTCTATGAACTGAGCTCATTCCCATCACCAATGGAGGACTCTCAATGAACTGAGCTCATTCCTATCACCAATGGAGGACTCTCTATGCACCGAGCTCATTCCCATCACCAATGGAGGACTCTCTATGATCTGAGCTCATTCCTATCACCAATGGAGGACTCTCTATGCACCGAGCTCATTCCCATCACCAATGGAGGACTCTCTATGATCTGAGCTCATTCCTATCACCAATGGAGGACTCTCTATGCACCGAGCTCATTCCCATCACCAATGGAGGACTCTCTATGATCTGAGCTCATTCCTATCACCAATGGAGGACTCTCTATGCACCGAGCTCATTCCCATCACCAATGGAGGACTCTCTATGATCTGAGCTCATTCCTATCACCAATGGAGGACTCTCTATGCACCGAGCTCATTCCCATCACCAATGGAGGACTCTCTATGATCTGAGCTCATTCCTATCACCAATGGAGGACTCTCTATGCACCGAGCTCATTCCCATCACCAATGGAGGACTCTCTATGATCTGAGCTCATTCCTATCACCAATGGAGGACTCTCTATGCACCGAGCTCATTCCCATCACCAATGGAGGACTCTCTATGATCTGAGCTCATTCCTATCACCAATGGAGGACTCTCTATGCACCGAGCTCATTCCCATCACCAATGGAGGACTCTCTATGATCTGAGCTCATTCCTATCACCAATGGAGGACTCTCTATGCACCGAGCTCATTCCCATCACCAATGGAGGACTCTCTATGATCTGAGCTCATTCCTATCACCAATGGAGGACTCTCTATGCACCGAGCTCATTCCCATCACCAATGGAGGACTCTCTATGATCTGAGCTCATTCCTATCACCAATGGAGGACTCTCTATGCACCGAGCTCATTCCCATCACCAATGGAGGACTCTCTATGATCTGAGCTCATTCCTATCACCAATGGAGGACTCTCTATGCACCGAGCTCATTCCCATCACCAATGGAGGACTCTCTATGATCTGAGCTCATTCCTATCACCAATGGAGGACTCTCTATGCACCGAGCTCATTCCCATCACCAATGGAGGACTCTCTATGATCTGAGCTCATTCCTATCACCAATGGAGGACTCTCTATGCACCGAGCTCATTCCCATCACCAATGGAGGACTCTCTATGATCTGAGCTCATTCCTATCACCAATGGAGGACTCTCTATGCACCGAGCTCATTCCCATCACCAATGGAGGACTCTCTATGATCTGAGCTCATTCCTATCACCAATGGAGGACTCTCTATGCACCGAGCTCATTCCCATCACCAATGGAGGACTCTCTATGATCTGAGCTCATTCCTATCACCAATGGAGGACTCTCTATGCACCGAGCTCATTCCCATCACCAATGGAGGACTCTCTATGATCTGAGCTCATTCCTATCACCAATGGAGGACTCTCTATGAACTGAGCTCATTCTGATCACCGATCATCTGAGAATTCTGGTCAACATTGAAGACAACATTGTAGTGTGGAAGTATTTTATTTACATTAGAAACCAGCAAAATTACATAACACACAAGAAAATTGGTCTTGAAATCTCATTACAAATTTGTACAACTGCCCATTGCTGACTTGTCCCATTTGGCCACGTATTACCCCAGTTTATGGTGCATTGGGACCACGTCAGAGCTTTTTGTTTTAAAGACCACGCTATTATTAGTTCATTCCTGCAGGCCCGAAACCATGAAGCCACTCCCCTAAAATACATTAGTTTTACCACGCCCCCAATGTTCCATGGCTCACATAGTGAACTGCTTAGGCCTATCTGCCCCTCCACCCACTCCGAAGACACATTTCCTGGTATGCCCTTTTCTCTTGAGTTCCCGAAGCACACATTGTGACGTGCTCCCTTCTTTGAGGAACGAGGCCAGCTCAATGGTGGAGGTGGTAGAGACTGGGACTGTAGCGGGAAAATCTCACCACTGAGAAGAACAAAGGAAAAAGCCAATGGCAGCTTCAGCTAATGCAGAACAGACTCCACACCAAACACTGAACTATCACTTGAGCCTGGGTATACCCCTTTAAGTTTTACTATGCAGTTGTTCTATGGACTACACAGTTCTAACGCTTGGAAGCCACCACTCATTTCTCAAGAGCATCAGGAGATGCCGAAGTAGATTTCTACAACTTTTCCCGCACTTTGACCATAAGGAGGAGTCCCACATGGTATTCATGTTTCACAGTATTTACAACACAAGAGTGTGACATTTACAATAACCCGAGGGAAGTTTTATGGGGAAAGTGAAGTCACTTCAATTGTAAAAAATGCAACAAGAGAACATTTATTCATACGGAATCTTGTGCTGCTGGGTCTCGATGTTCCGCCGCATGAGTTTTCTGGTGTTTTAGAAGGTTTCCTTTATGGA